CCCATTCTTTGAAGCTCTGTGAGCCCTTTAGAATCTTTAGTCTCAGTGAGGTCTTTAGCACCACTCTTCTTAATCTTGATTACTATTGGATCGAGGACTCTCCTGTAGAAAAATATGACAACTGCCACGCTCAATATGTCAAAGCTAGACAAGCTCGCAGGAGGGATCTCGAAGTTCCACATCTTTGTCTTCATGGCGGCACCTTGCTCAACATATATGGATGCCATCTGAGTAAATACCACTGAATAAATTATAGTGCATAGCCAAATTGGCAGTAGTCTCAGTATGCACTTAACTTCTTCAACTTGAGAAATAGGGCATAGACACCACCAGTTATAATATCCCTGTTTCTCGTTGAAATCTCTTGAAGCAATGAATGTAGCAGTATCCAAGAACCTGTGGTACACAAGGCAATCCTGACTTATGATTTGATCAAACAAATTCTATAAAGCTAGGATCAGACTTGTAGTTAGATTGGCTTCTATTAGGAATCAAAAGCTTTTAGAACTTACTTGAAACCATGGGTGTGGAGCATCTTTCTCGAACCAGTTACAGAACTTTCCTTTCCTTCAACTTCAAATAATTCATCATCACTTTGTAGCCCCTCCACTCTCCAGTTCCTTATTGCTGCTACTATTACTTGGGTAAACCTAGAAATAGGATTTCCATAGGGGCTGAAATGCCTGTATCTTGTGGTACCTACGAGGAAGAGTACTAATGCTGCCAAGGCAGATGCAGTAGATGCCCAAAACCCTATTGCCCACATTCCCGAATTCTCATAGTAGCCCAAAATGATGTTGAAACCTGTATGATGTTGAAACCTGCATGCCTATTTGTTTAATGTCCTTTCTGACCCAATCAATGGTAAGCTACGATTTGTTGATGCCTTAACCGGAAAGATATGTAATCCTTGCAGGAGAAGCATTGGGTATCAGATAGGGTAAGCCATGAGAAAAATCAAAATTTTTTTATTTGACTAATTTACTTACTGTAGTTGTGGAGATAGTTTCACCTTTTGGAATGCTAAAAAATTTTGCACTTATACTCACCCCTCTTTTAGGTCATCGATATGTATGCAAGGTTATTGAATATGGATGTGAGTAAAAGACTGATGAAGGTTAAGCGGTACATTGTCGAGACATGTGTTGTTGTAAGTATAATGGTCAACTTTTTTTTACCACCAACTAACACCATGCATGTACAGTTTCACTCATTGCTAGTTTAGTTAGAAAATTTGATTCCAATATTTAATAAATAGTATGAATTACTCGTGCAATTTCTAACTATCCTATGACTTTCGATCCAATTTCATTGATTTGTTGGGCAGGCTGCCATTCAACGTGTAGACCGATTTGAGAAAATGTCTGATGATGACCTATATTCGCAATTGAACAAGTGGTTCAAAATAAGAGCAGATAATGCTTCAAGTCTAGCAAATGCCGATATAGTGAGCAATCTCTTATAACTGCTCAAACAAATATCTTTTACTTTATATCAAATACGTTGCATTTCTAAAGTCTAACACATTACATTTTCAGATACTGGTTCCAGTGGTGAACAAAAGTCACTGGTTTGTATACTCATTTGATATTGCACAAGGCATTGTTCATCTCCTTTACTCACGAGTTGATTCGTCACGGGTTCGAGAGACTAACATCTTATGACGGCTGGTGAAATCTAAATACTATTTATAACTTGCATTTTTAATGCATCTGTTCCATGGCTTTAAATTATATAACTAGTGTGAAAGTGTAATCAGTAAAATTATATTTGTATGTTGCAGAAGCGAACTTTGGGATTAATAATGGCGAAACAATTTGATAAGTCGGTAGATTTCAAGAAATTTACCTTGCAAGTCGCAGATGTACCTCAGCAGTCTCCACACAATGGGTATATGTACTGTAAATAAGAGTTTATTTATATTCTATCTTGGAATATAACTAAATACTAAGTTATATTATTAGGATGGTAAGGTAAAACTTGTATGTCCAATTATCTGGTTCTCACGACAATGTATACCTCGTGTTTCAGCTAGGATTGTGGTGTGTTCATAATAAAATTTCTGGAGCACTAGAATGGAAGATTAGGCATACGCATTACGGAGGTATATATATTATTTTGATTTATAGAAATTTTTTGGTAGCAAGTATTTTTATGATGACTTATGTATAACATGTGGTGCTGATTATTTCAATGCTTGGATAGGATAACATGTGGAAGTATCGAGTGCAATATGTGTCTATGATGGTTGCAACTGAGCATAACGAATGGGCCGAATCCATCCTTGAGTTGTTAAATATCCCTCCCTGACAAAAAAATCAGTTGTAATAAATAATGACAAATATCTAGTAATTTATAGTTGTGTTGCGTAGAATTTTGTACTTGTGTTGTGTAGAATTATCTCATTTTGGGATTACTGTTGGGAGCAAAGTTCATTAGTTATGAAGTTTTTACTACTAGTGGGACATGTAGAATTTTTTGTTGGGAGCAAAGTTCATTACTGTTAGTACATGTAGAATTTTTTGTTTGCGGTAGACAGGGTTGGCACACCACGATTAATTTATAACTTCGTGTAATCAATTAAAGAGATGTAAATGGTTTAAAACTATTTTGCATTGATTGCAATTGTCAAACTACTATATAATATAAAAAGAAAACATTCATTTTAGTATTACATTGCTCCAATCCAGTTCCAAAAGGGGCACAACATACATCATCTTAGCATACATATTCATGGAAGGCAATTAGCTTCTACCCATTTATATCGTAGGTAATTGCACTTCTTCGTCGCTTATATGTATGGGAGTACTGCTCTTTGACCTTTCCACAGAAGCCACAATGGGGGTCTGGCAATCATTGAAACAAGCAATAAATTATTTAAATCAAATATTCAGTGTTCATAAAAGCATGCCCTACAATAGTCTTGTACCAAGGTTAGAATAATTCTAAATAATAACTTTAAATACATTCTTTTAAAGAATTACTGACCATTAAGAATTCGGTGAATGAGTTGTACTTTGTCTTGATCACAGGATCGTTAGGAATCAAAAGTGGGAGATTGTTACGATCTTGAATACGGATATTATGAGCAGCCAGTATTTGAGGAGTGATTCCAGGTTCACCGGGCTAGATTTCAGTATTTACTGAATAAGATACTGTAAATTTGTCCAAAATCTTGATTATCCACATAAGTACAATATCTCACTTTCCATCCTACAAGACTGCATATCTGAGTGAATAACTGGGGATGATCCAAAATTTGATTCACTGAATGACTGTTATCACGAGTAGCACATTACATTAGTTGCAAAGTCATACTATCACTGTGTATAATAGCAAAATAACTACAAGTAAAATCTAAATACATATTGTGTCCAAAATTTAAGATGCTATGATGTACGAAAATTATGATGCAAATGTGTATATAATGTATAACAACGTGTTCAACTAGATTAACGATATGTAAACAAAAATCAAAATTCAGTACATACGTGACCGTAAATGAATACATTGTAAAGTTATACTACAAACTTATGGGCTACTATGAATATAACACATAACTAATGCATTAAATTGAAGTAATTATGCAACAGATTTGGAAAGGTCTTTTTGTAGTGTGTACAAGATAAAATACATCGTGTACCAGAATAATAACATGATGTCAAAACTACACAACGGGTGATAAACAATTGTAACTTGTATGATTCAAAAAATAAATGTGAGCAAATAAATTAATAATCTGTAAAAAATTTTATCCAAAGGTGTAATCATGTGTCCAAATGCAATAACGATATTTAAAAACAAAGTAACCAGTGGTACATGGTATCAATCAATGCGTACAACATATATATCAGTTTGTACACATAAAACAACATGTAAATGCTATTAAATCAAGAGATCGTCGTAATGTGTACCAACTAAAATACACCGTGTACCAGAATAATAACATGATGTCAAAACTAAACAACGGGTGATAAATAATTGTTACTTGTACGATTTAAAAAATAAATGTGAGCAAATAAATTAATAATCTGAAAAATTTTTATCCAAAGGTGTAATCATGTGTCCAAATGCAATAACGATAATTCAAAACAAAATAACCAGTGGTACATGGTATCAATCAATGCGTACAACAAATATATAAGTTTGTACACATAAAATAACAACATGTAAATGCTATTAAATCAAGAGATCGCCGTAATGTGTACCAACTAATACGTACAAAATGTGATATTACTATGTCAAAAATAAATAATATGTAATGAACATCCTATCACTAATATGTACACCTTAATAACCAATGTGTACAAGTAAAACATTAATTTGTAACAACTAAATAACTAACAGTGAACTATAATGCACATTATGTAAAGTATAAAAATAGCTACTTACTACCACAGAATTATTCGATGACAAACATTTGCTTGATGTTTGGCTTTGGATAGGTTGATAGGATTCTGATGACTGACAAGAGAAGAATATACAACAACTGAGTCGGCTTATGATAGTAGAGTCAATTAAAATGATATAGTTATGTAAATCCAAAAATAAGATTCAGTACTAACCATCTCAGGAGTGCTTGCCTTAGACAATCTAGAGTTCTTCTTTTGCCTATGAAACCTGTCCACCCAACTACGTAATACTTTCTTAGTTTTTCTGCCACTTCGTTTCTTCAAATCCGTTGGAGTCACAAAGTGGCCAGTTGCATTCTGCACCTGTATTTCCTTACATAGATCCATTGATGCACTATTCTGTGTTATTTCATCTATTTCTTCACAAAATAGCATTTCGACTCTCTTTGACAATTCAGACATTACACTACTAACTAACTTTGTAGCAGCTTCTAACATAGTAACCCTGGTAGCAAGTCTTACCATTTCAGGTGCTAATAGCCTATATCGATGGGAAATAGAGAGAGACGGATTTGATAATATTTCTCTACCCTTGCAATCGACGCTGCCTCCGGACCTTGCCTTCTTTGTCAACCTCTTTGTCACATATTAAGCAGGAATAAACTTTGTTCCAACCATATCATACATCTTTAAAGCATGTGAGCATAGGATTCCTTCCTGCTCAAAAAGATTACAACTACAAGTAATGTCTTTAGTTATTGGATTCAATGTCACTCTTCTCTCCCTTCCTCCATCATACTTACTGACACTGTATTCCACATGCATTGTAGTATGCTTTTGATCCAAGATCACCATTGTAGTGGATTCATCGTATTCATTCTGGAATGCAACAAACATGGATGGAGAGTATATAGAAGCTGCCTGGATCAGTACGGGATTCTGTTGCAATCCCAACATTGGCAGCTTCTGTCGACTGTGATACTCAATTCTTAGTTCATTATATCTTTTTTCATCAACAACTCGATTAAAAAGTTTGAAGAATTGAACCAGATCATGATCAAGTTTCAGATATTTTTTTATGGAAGCATTTAGACTCTCACTTAGTTGGGTGCTACGCATACGTGCAGTCCAGGCGCCTTTCATGAAGCATTTTGCCCATTTCTTTCGATATGCATAAATACCACGCAACCATTCATTTGTTTCGAGCTTGTGTTCTTTTAGCATTGCATCCCAGGCCATGATAAACTCATTTTCATCTTCTATCTCATACATACATTCAGCAAATCTATTTGGGAGATTACTACCATCCTTGTAATAGTTCCCAATGTGTTTCATGAAATTGACTCTAATATGAAAAGTGCACAGACCATGGTATGTTGAAGGCATAACAGCTGAAATTGTAGCGGTCAAGGCTGCATCCTGATCTGTGAAAATGGTTTTTGGGTGCTTTTCACAAACTGCCTCTACAAATGTACTGAACACCCACTTGAATGATTCAATGGTCTCATCATACAATAGAGTTGCTTTAAAAATAATCAATTGTCTAAATTGATTGAATCCCACAAATACGCCCAATGGTTTGTACTCCTTGTTAGTTTTATATGTGGTGTCAAATGTAACCACATCCCCAAAATAGATATAATCCATCAGCATTGATGCATCAGCCCAAAATATATTTGTAATTTGTTCTTCACAATCAAGCTGCTCTGCGTGGAAGAATGACGGATTTTCCAATTTTTATTCTTCAAAGTATCGTAGCATTGCACCAGCTTCACCATACTTTAATCCCCTATCTTTTTCTTCGTAGATAGCGTTTTAAGTCATCACGAGTGTAGCCAATATTGCCTAATCTACCTGTCTCTTTTCCCATGAGTTCATGGGATTGTTTCAAGGATATTCCTGCATCATTTGCAATCTCAGCTTGGGCTCCTTGAGAAATACTTACTTTTCTTTGCGAACGCATCATATGAGCACATTCTGCAATGTGTAATGTGTGATTATGCTCGATTACCGGATCTCGAACCTGATACTTCATTGTTTCTTTGTTCAAAATTATCCCCATTTTAGCTTCACATCCGGTTTTTGTTTCAGCCCGAATTCTCTTTGATTTTACATCTCCTTCTTACCGTTGTTTGAAACCTTCTTTGCAACATGTGTACCTTCTCGATGTAACTACACCGTCTTTATCCTTGTTCAAGTAGTCTCCCCGAACACTGAATCCAAGAACTAATCCGTACCTATTGTAGAAGTTGTATGCCTCATCTTCTGACTGAAACTCCATGCCAATCTTAGGACACAATGCTTCCTCCATGGTTCTGTATTCGACAAAAGTATTTTTTGCTATTGTTTTTCAGGACAAACTATTATATTTATTTTTTATTTCCTTATTCACATCATAAGCACTTAATTATTTGTATTCACATATGTACATACTTTATAACAAGGTGTACACACTTTACAACATTTTGTAAAATAATTTTTATGGATATGTATATTCTCTGTAATAGGTAATCACATAACTCTAATAATTTGCAAAGCATATTTCACTATATAATATATACATTTCAACCAAATATTATAACCAATTTGTGTATAATATCAGTATTTACATACTTTACAATCATATGTACACACTTTATAACAATGTGTACACCATTTATATCAACTTGTAACATAACAAATGCATGTATGTAAAATACACTTTTACATAGCGTAAGGTTCAACAGAGTTCTCAAAATCTATACATCGTCTTTTGTACCGTTTGTGTAGTTATTTAAGTTGGCTACATTGTTATGTTGTTTTTACGCTTATGTTATTTTATTTGTACACATCCTCATTCATTTTTTGAAACTCTGTACGGGATCTTTATTGTACAAGTTAACCATTCTCTGTAAAAGGATAATGACATACTTCTTATAATTTTCAAATCATGCTTCACTAGATAACACATTTATTACAATCAAATTACATATAATATTAGCATTTACCTTGGACAGAGTTCATCATGCAGTGGATTTCAGATGGGCCGCTCACAAGTCTCGGCTATGCATTTGTTACTCGATGAATATCTATCTCAGGCATCCACAAGTTAAATCGGCGTGTATTGTTGCTGCAACGGATCTTCACAATTATCTTGTGCACACCTCAAACAAGATGCCCGTTTTGATAGGGTTTATTTAAGAGTTGGAAGAGAAGAAAATAAAGATTTATGTCTATGTTATGCTAAATAGTTTGTTGAGAGGAGAAGAACAGAAGGAGCTGCAGCGACAATGTATTGTTTTCAGAGAAAACCCACTACTGCCATTTTCTTCCCACCTCTTTTAAGTTGAAAGAGTTTTAAAGCTCGCCGATCGTACCAAAAGTTGATTTTCAAATTTTGATTTTGAATTTTTCATACCCTTAACGGCCAGACCAAACGGAGTTAAAAGTCAAGTTTCTATTAAAGTTACAATCGTCTACACTCATCTCCATTTTGTTCCCTATATTTTTCGCCGTTGATGATGGGCCCATCTAATCTTTGCCATGAAAAGTTTCTGGATGGTTGTCTGACAACCGTCCAGGACCCTGGTCCCAACTTGCGAGGCCCCGTACCTGTTTCATGACATCAACTATCTAAAACAATAACAATTTGTATTTAATTCGAAATGCTGATTTGTGTTGACTTTATTTGCTTTCGTCTGACCCATTTTTCACAAGATGAAATAAAATGTTGATAGTCCAAGTAAGAAAATAATTTTTGGATTGTTAGTTTCCGCAAAACAAATTTTACATTTTTCTTGAATATATTTTTTAATCATCTTTTTACCTCATATATATCAAATTGTTACAATATTTTTTTTCCAAAAACACTTTAAAATAGCAATTCAAACAGCACTAACATCTTTCTATATCCGTGAGAGAAATGCGTCATCTCCACGGGATTACACTTCGTGAATTCTATTGTAAGAACCTCGCATATGGAGCATGACATGACACTGTGGTCTATGAGGGCATTCCAACACTTGGAAAGTAGTCATATCAACAAGATGAAAAAAAAGTTGCTAAAAATGGTGGTCTAATAGTGCACTAGATTATGAAGATAATGGATCAAGCTCTTGTGAGAAGTACTTTTTGACACCTATCTCAAACTATTCACAATTCATAATTAATTCAAAGTGTTGATTTATGCTCCCTTGATGTCATGTACAATGCTCATATTTTTATAGTTGACTAAAGACAAAAAAACATAGTCAATTTATAACTCAAAGGTATTAAACGTGGTCCACAAGTTGTTGGATAATTTTTAGGTTGGACATGTATGAGGTAAAATAACATTGTGGAAGAAGGAATAGATTGAATGGTACAGAGCATAAATGACAAGTCTTGAATTTAAAATCTTCCATTTATATTTAAAAAAGAAAAAAAGGTAAAATAACAGTGCAATTGTCAGAGAGGAAAAGATTGATGAGGTCATTTTCATATTTATCATGTTTCTTTTGTTCGATAGGCCAAATCATAATGCCCCTACCACTAAACCCCTGAAGACTAAATGAAGTCCTTTGTCACAACGTATATCAAAGTTTCTTAGTCAGTAATCAAAATTCACAAGGCGCATTTTTACCCCTAAATTGGTGTAAATGGATAATCAGCAATTACCCAAAGCTATTTTTGCTGGAAATTCAGGATCCAAGCATTTTGTAGTAATTGATAATTTGACACCGAAACGATATATCCCTAATCCGATTAACCTTCTACCTAGAAGCCCAAGGTGATTGTGAAGTAGAACTCCAAATATACTGATACCTGTTACAATATGTTGCCTAAATATGTAACTATGTATTTCATATCGCATATAATCCATAATGTCTAATTTAAAGCTATATAATTTTGGCAATATTTTCTATTGAATTTGTGATACCCCAACTTTTAGGATACTATTGTTGTTTAGCCTCAAATAGAATATTACGGTTTCTTTATTTTATTGTTTTGTTTTACAAACTAGAAACCCTAAATTCTAGAAATAAAGTCTAATCAAATCCCTAGTTTCATTTGTGACAGACCGTTTTCTCAAATTTCTCAAATTTCAACCGAAACCCTAAATTCAATTTATGGAATTGTAAAACCTCTCACGTTTTCTTAAAAATGCCCTTTTAATTGGAAATTATGATTTTATTATAGCCCTACCACCCAATCACCCCACAATAAGTGCAAATGAACATGAAAGCAAAGGTTTTCACTTTTCGTTTTCAAGTTGGAGCGAGTTAGGGTTTTCACGTTTTTCCGTAGTGTGACTATTCGGTACGGAGTAAGGATCAAATTTGGTAGGTACGAGTGACTTTTGGATGAGGAAATATTATATGATTTGAAGTGATAATAATAAGTTAGTGATTAGAAGGTAAAAACCCTAGTATACGTGATTTAAGGAAAAACGGCTCGAACCGACGGGTATCGATCACTACCGATTGAACACACCACTTGATCACCACTTTCTTACCATACAAGCTCATTAATATTTGAGCAAAATATCCCCTCATTTCCAGCTTGCTTTGACCGAAAATTTGGACCAAAAATTGCAAGGAAAAGAAAAAAAAATGAGTGGAATTGGTGAGGACACTTGTCGGCCACCTAAGGGCCTTGACCAAGACAACTTGTCTTGCCTTCTTATCACCTTGGGCTACCTTTCTTCCTCATTTTTTCTGCTGTTTGGCCGAGAGAGAGAGAGAGAAAAACCCAAGGGAGAGCTTCACCATTTCATCTTGAAATTGAATCATCCAAGTGAGGAAACAAAAAACTAAACCGATTAAAACCTTCCTTGAGTGTTTAGCTAGTGGTGTGTTGGTGAAATTTTGAAAGGAAAAGCTAGGGTTGCTCTTGGTAGTCACTTTAGCAAGGTAATAATGCTGATTTCCCCATTTCTTACACTTAATCTTGTTTAACTTGGCATAGCACCTTAAATTTGTGGTGGATGATAGCTATTATCATGATTTGGGTGGATATAGTGTATATTTTCTTGAGTTACATGAGTTAGGGTTTGAGGTATTTGCTGCCTATACTTGATGTATGGTTAATATATGTTGTATCTAAGATTATATAAGGGGCTTTGGTAGTGATTGAAGCAAGAAATGAAGAAAGTTTCCTTTGAAAATGAAAAAATTCCAGATTTCTGGAAAATTTGACTTCAGTTCTGTCCGGTTTCAGTGCACTATGTTAGAGGCCGAATTAGGCTTACCATAAAACATGAAAGTTGTATAGAATGATATTTTATAGATGCCTACAAATTTTCAGCTCAATCGGAGCAACGTAGCCTGTGAAAAGACCAAAATACCCTCGCTGCCCTAGGATGTTTCCAGTGATCCGTTTTAGACAGTTCATCTAGTTGACCGTGTCTATTCACTATGATACGTGCTGATTTAGCCATTTTCCAAAAAATGAAAGTTTTAGTACTCTGTCTTAAATTTTCAACGCCTCCAAGAACGCCTTAAACGGACTTTGGTAGCCTGAGATATGGCCATTTAAATATAGTATGGTTAACTAGCCGGTTAGTTGGAAGTTGGTTCTGTGAATTGGGAATTTGACTGGGTTACACTGGAAATTTGACTAAGTGATCTTCATGAAAGTTGTAGGCCCTCATCTTAGCTTCGAAACGGTATAATTTTTATCCCAATCCGATAAGCGTAGCTTTGGTTGTGTCTGTTACGTAAAACTCTATCAAATCTATCTCTTGTTAAACTTCATTTCCGCACTTGTTGTTAGCTTGATTTTGTTCTTATATTGTCATGAGCCTATTGAACGGCTATTGAAATTAGATTGTTGTGTGTGTACCTTTGGGTTTGAATGAGGAAAATAATGAAGCCATAAATGGCTGGAAAATTAGGTAAATACAAAGGACATGCTGCCCAAATTTACGCTCGAGGACTAGAGAAATATACTTGCAACTTGAGTAAGGGTTAAGAGTGATTATCACTTGAACCATCTAGGACTTTTGCTACTTTGGTTATCGAGGGTTATATGTTAGAACTTAGCCGAACTTGTACCCTTGAGAAATACAACTATGACCACTAGGAATACGTTTTCCTTGTACTTTCGACTTAAATGGCATTTTCAAGTATAAATGTTACAAAGTTATATAGTTTGAAAAGCGAGCGAGTGTTTCACGAATATTCTCCAAGTGAATTTCCATTTCTTGATTCTTATTGAACGAAACGTCTAAGTTTCGAACCTTAGTCGATTTTTAAAGTTCTGAAACAAAGTTTTATCGCAGATTTGGACTCCGAACCCGGAGTATAACCCAGACGTGATTACTAGGGGCACTTCATTTTGGTGAGTGCTTTCAAATACCGAATTGAACTTGATACTTGTATTTGATACGTGACCAATGTGATTACATGTTGTATACGTGAATTGTTAGGGCAAGAGTGTACTTTATCGCACTTGCCCTTACGTGACATATACTTGTTTATTGTTGCAATTGACTTGACATACTTGTTATGAGGTGCGCACTTCCTGGAATTCCAGAAACCCTGCGGCAAGTTACTCGGGTCGAGCCGGCAAGGGCTTGGTCGATTGGGTAACGAACCCTGGGTCTCTTGATTGTCGAGTGGAGTGATATCTCCTCGACTAATCGGTATACTCGAGTATTACCACCCGTGTTTATTGAGGATTTTGGGCCCAATAGGGGGTGTGAATGGTGGACGGAGAGTAGTGTAAGTGGTGCTCTACTGGATTGGTTCCTTTACTTGAAAGTTGACGGAGTGTCAACTATTACGTGATCAAGCTCCTGATGATGAAATGGGAAGTTGGCTCCTGAGAGCCATCCGTATCCTTATGCTTTGGAATGATTATTGCTTATTGGATTATTGTTTATTCTGAAAAACTTTTACACTCGCTCATTTTGAGATTGCTACTTGACGTGTTATTGCTTACTTTTATGAACTCTTCATGCTCGTTACTTTGCTATATCGAAAACTTGTACTTATAAATAATGGCCAATTTGCTATCTGGAACCTCACTGGGCTTTTAGCTCATACCACGCCATTTGTTTTCCTTATAGGGGTACGAGCGAGGCGTAAGACGTGTACAAGCTAGCGTAGTCTAGTTGTTTTGAATTTTGTACTCGCACTAGTCGCTCGATTAGGGTGGATGTACTGAGAACTTAACTCTTTTGATGTATTTGGGACTGTATGGATGATTGAGATAGAAATGAATGTATTCGTATGTTCCAAACTTGGGAACCGTTATTTCGTTTATTATTGAGATTGCACCTTATTTTAATTAATGCGAGTGAGTGAGTCCTGGCGAGAGCTGGACAGGCGGTCCGCTAAACCCTAGGATACGCCCAGGGAGAGGTGGGGCCGTCACAGAATTTATCTCATATCAATTGTGGAAGGAGCAGTGTGCTTGGTCATAACTATGAGGAAAAGTCTCACTCTTTGAGCTAACTTTTGGAGCGAAAAGGTCCAACAGCACCCAACACTTAGAGTTTAGTTCTGACAACTCCCCCAGTAAAAAGACTCAGATGAAAGGTAGATGATCTAATCCAACTTAAAGTCCAATGCAAATACTCGAATAAAAGATTGATATTGTCCCAACCGAATGTTCGATGTGTGATGGGAGAGATTATTGAATTTATCTCATATCGGTTATAGTAGAGGCAATATATTGATTATGAGTGTGAGAGAAGGCCTCACCTCTCGAGCTAGTGTTTGGGGTGAGAAGATTGAATATCATATAATATTTTTCGTACCACCTAGGCTTCTGTACCTAATGACTTTCGCTTTGATAAAGAGTTGCTGACTAAATTTCAAATCAACACTAAACTCCAAAGTTTAAATTCGCTGTTTTGTAAGGCAAAGCATTGCTAGCGCCAAGCCACCAACTCCATTAAAATGTTGCATCCCAATTGACATCCACTACAAGAGATGAAAGCTTTTTCATTAGAAGGAGCATAGAATAAGGACTTCATTAATAAATCATTTGGAAGGAACACGGTTGCAATTCCAAAAGAAACTCAACTTAACATCATTGTCCATTAATTCTCCAAGTCTTTGGATTGCATCACGATTCATTTCACATGAAAATGTATATTGTTCAAATTGTCCCTAAATCACATTCATGCAAACTCAGAAGCTCCATTCTCATCCTGAAGATTGAACTTCCCTTTCACATTACTGACGAAAACAATGTCGAGATTATAAAGCACTGGAACCAACGTTATAGAACACAGGAAAACAAGCACTGGTCCAAAGATCCAAAGCAGGAGAGGCAGTGCAGCGTAGAACAATCTATTTCCTACCGTGTTTAGTACAAATCCCTTTTCCAGCAGCTCCGATACGTATTCCGGCGTCACTATCCCCGTCTCATCTCGCGGGCAGTTGACGAGGAAATTTACCTGGTTGGTAAACCTGATTGACAGAGAATGGCAGATGAAAGAGAACAAGAAAATCAGGAGCACTGAGACATATTTGAGTGCCACCATGAACTCCCCGTGAGCCCCAAATACAGAGTCATTGATTGGTTTTTTCACGCTGTACGTACTGCTTATGACCGCAGCAAGGCCAGAGCAGAGAAGTATCGATGTGGTGGCCATCAGTGTCGAACCCATAATCGTATTCCGAAGTGTTTGTACAGCCAGGATGTTTTTCTTGTCATTATCCTGCATTACAAGTTGGCATAGAAATTTACACTTTGTTGTTGATTTTTTGCATAAGACTCAAAATGTCTTTGACAAAAAAGCAACATTGTCGTTAGATAGTGCCGCACCGGATGGAACACAAAATGGTGACACTTATGAAAGTCCACAGCAAAGAAATAGTACTAAGTTTTTTTTTTTTTCCTAGATTGCGTAGCTTCCGATTTATCATAAATTGTCTAAGCAGAAGAAGTATTTTAATGGTCAACGATTGTTTTAATGATTTGGCTATTTTTTACTTTGGGGTTTTTTTTTTTTTTTTCCTTCTTTGGGTAATAAAAATTTAGGAACTAGGAGATAAATACATTCCAATGGAAAGCATGACATGGCGCATGGAGTTTATGGTAGTATTTATATATCGCCTACCAATGAAAGATTGTTAGCGATAAAGTTTCGATTTTATATTGGTGAGAAAGCATTTTGTGTCTGCCACTTGCAAAAAATAAAAAATAAAAAATCCATGTGGAATATTACTTGCCGTGCTTTACGAGATCAAGCGTGTCAGTTAAAGATCTACTCGGAATAGATTGGATGCCGGAATAGATTGGATGCTTTGAACTCTAAATGGCAATCATGCAATTTTGGTGTAAAGAAAGCTGTACCGGAAGAACCAATCGATCGCTTTTTGGGGAATAAAAACAGATAAGAGAATATACGTAACTAACAGCAGCTAAGTCACCAATACTTCAGCAGAAAACAAATGCTTAATTGGGCATTAAACAAATTCCTCGAATAATAAACTCTTGTATACCTGATTAGATTGCATATGTCAAGCAAAAATCATCCATTGGATTGTGACTTGGCTGAGAACAAGTTCTTTAATTAAGAATTAATTAACTTTGTATCTTGGAATTGTGCCAAAAGATATCAAATGTGCAATTGTCATATTCTCATTCATGGCATTTCAGTGCATATCTTGGTTTTTATGAAGAAAAGGGAGAGATTATATCTAGTAAGCGTTTCAACATATGCTTATTGTACCAAAAAGATATCGAATATGCAATCGTCACATTCTCATTCATGGCATTTCGGTGCATATCTTGGTTTTTATGAAGAAAAGGGAGAGAATGTAAATAATAGGACAAAATACACTTTACTGCCTATGGTTTAGCATTTTTTACATAACCTTCTATGATTTTAAAAGTTATACATAACCTCTCATGATTTGAATTAAAGTGTCAAAATGATGGAATTTGCATTCTATAACTGAATCAACTAAAATGTTAAAAGTACTCCTATATAAAATTAAAAATTATTTATTAACCACAGGGAGTTATGTATATATTTTAAAAATCATAAGGGAGTTATATGGTAAAATATAAAATCATATGGAGTTAGAATGTCATGCATATTATGTTTATATATTTTAGTTTTTAAACAAGAGTAATTTTGACATTTTCATGGGCTCCGTTACAAATGATATACTTTAATCCAAATTATAAGGGGGTTATATATAATTTTTAAAATTGTCGGGGGATTATGTAAAAAATCACTAAATCACAGGATAATAAAAATGTATTTTACCTTAATAATAAGCGCTTCAACATATGCTTTTTATATTCAGTTAAAGTGGAGACCGCTAAGGACAGGAAACTGCTACTTTTAAGTAAATGTTATTCGATATATGCCTTCACGATTTGTTCAATAACGTCCTATTAACTATTAATCCACTATTATTAAAATAAACTGCGTTTCGTTAAGTTGAAAAATTTTTCCCATCTTAGAATATTTATTCTACCTAATTAAGGAAAATTTTTTCTATCTTGGAATACTTATTCTGCTTAATTAAACTACAAATTAACTGGATAGCTATACGATTCTTGAGCAACAATTTAAAATGTCTCTTACAAAATCTGTGGAAAATGAAAATTTGGAGGTTGTAAAATCCAATTGATAAAGATTTTCTTTATCGAGAAAGTGTTTATCTAAGGTGGAAATCATGAATGATGGGCTTAGCTTATTACCTAACGTCAGCACTCTCCAAACGTTTCACATGAAAAACATTTTAGCAATTGTTTCACGGAATGATCAGCAAAGTGTGTAAAACAAAAAAAAAAAAAGAACGGCGGAGCTGATATGATACCTTCATCATGGCTGAGACCCACAACCGGCGACCTCTAGCATTTGTTCCGATGATGGTGGAGAGGGGGTCGGTCCGAACCTTGCGCCATAACCAAAAATGATACCCTATGCATACTAGAAACCCTAAAGGTACAAGAACAACATCAAGGTAGCATTTCCTCCATTCCATGTTGGTTTTCTGTTTGATCACACACTCTTAGTGACTTGTGATGACTCTCTGTTGGAATGTTATTGTTGTGTGCGTGTGTGTGTGTGTGCGGGTTTTTTTATAAGGATTTCGGCTGTGTGTCTCCTTTCCTTTTCTTCATGTTTGGGTTGGTTGGAGCCTTGGAGGACTATATATACAGCAGCAAGGAAATGAACCCGGACTGGTTTGAGTGCAGCATCCGACCTTTCGAGTAAAGGAGGAAAAAAAGGCAAACTCCCACTTTCTTAAAGATACAATAGGGACAAGTTCTAATCATGTGGACCTTTTTGTTCCATTTTGAGCATTCTATCCTAAATATATTTGCCTCTGTTTTCAAGTATATTTACAGTTCTATCTAGGGTCCAATAATTTTGAGAACAGATTTAGTGTTGTCCAAAGCTGGAAAAAGAAAAAAGAAAAAAAAAAGAAAAAGAAAAAAGAGAAGAGTATCCGTTGAATCCTACATCATAATTCTGGTTTGTTACTGAGTCAAGTTGGATCATTAGTTACACTAAAAAAGACAAAAAAAAAAAAAGATCATTGAACCTTGTGGGGCACTTTAGAGGTTTTAAGGACCCTGGAGAAGAAAAAAGGTATTGCATAAAGTTTGTGCTGAACTCCGAATGACAAAATTTGAAAACGGTAGTTAGAAAGAAATATGTGCAAAACAAATGACTTGGCGATTCTGAGCATCAAGTCAGATGCTTAAAAAAATACACTAAATTAGATTTTTCATATGCTTTCGTCAAGCTAGCCTTTTTCCGATTAGAATTGCTGTAGTTGGCTTTCAGATTCTTAAAATTCCCAGTCTGTTATCTTGCTTTCATTACAATACATAAAAGACACAATTGCCAAAAATGGTCAGGTGTTGATAAAAATATATATTTAGTTAGATGGGCATGGTTCAGGAGTAGAATTGTAAAACCATATAAGATATTAAACTATACCATAGTCTTGGTGATGTATGCTGATTGATGTATGAAAAGTGATAATGAATTTTGTACAATAATGTAAGAAAACTTATGTGACCGTTGAATATATCACATGATTTAGAAGTAGAGTTATAAACACAGTCTATTAAAGTAGATGAGCAAGATGGCACTAAATTCAATTTCGATTTTGCTATTTGGGAATATCAATGAAAAGTATATCTTACAAAAAGAAAAATAAAATCCTTACACATATTTGGGTAATTCAAGATTATGCTTCTTTAAATCGAAAATTGCAATTAAGTTCCAATTCCACTATATAGAGTGTAATGCATCCTAAGAGAATATGGGATACTCTTTTGGGTATTTGGCACTGAAAGCAAATTAGTGGAAGTTGATAAGTGCACAAAGTTATCTGATGTTACAAAATAAGCAAAACAACAATTGGTGGTGCAAACACAAACCGCAACTTATGCCGATATGAATGTTCAAAATTTTCCTTTTCCTATCTAGAATAACATTTTCTGGCTTGGACCCCATACCGCATCACCTAGCACCCAAATCTAAGAGTGCACTTGATAAAATTAAAATTTGAAAACTGAAATATGAAATTTAAAGTCTAAATCTATTAAATTATTGGATTGTTAAATATTAAATTAAATACATTTGAATACATATTACATTTAGTAATAAACGAATAGTTTATCATTTATTTTTGAAAACAAGTTTTGGTTAGAAAATTTAGTGCCACTTAATTAATTTAGATGTTTAATTTTTTATTATGAAACATGTTTTAATATATTAATATCTGAATTAATTAAATTTAAGTACTGTATTAGTTATCAAATAGGGCCTAAGCCGAGAATTGGCCTCTTACTGCTGCACCTACGGCCTTGAATCTGTTGATAAGTAACCAAATGGTGGAATCTGCAAGTAGTGTAGGATTCATTACCCATTTCGATCAAATCATGATTTGAGCCAATGACTCTTCATTGTCACACCATGTGTGTTTGTCTAGCATTACTGAAAAGGATATGTGGAACTTTATTCAGTTAAAGAACAATCCAGTCACATAATAGGCTTTATGCTTCATTTACCAAATGGTGGCTAGGGGCTTATTAGTTGCAAATGGAATGAAAACAAATTTTTTGCATGATTATCCTCGAATATATACTTACCAAATGTATATTACTTGCAGCATCAACAAAAAAAAATGGCCGCATATGTTCATTGAAGAATGTATACTCTATCAATCTATATTTATTAGCTAAATTAAGCTAAGAAAAGAAAAAGATTTATGAATGAGATGAGGAATCCTTTGATTCTAAAATGTGATAAGGAAATTTTAAGACAGGGTCAAGATGGCTTTCCACTTGCCAGTGGATTTTGTCGAGCAAGCTGCATGTAGAGATCATGGATTTCTAGTTTGTCAACTTGTTTTGTCTTTTTGAACATTTTTCGCTATTCTGCTTTTTTATTGAGTTGAATGGAAATGTGAATCAACAAACTCTAGTACATGCTATTCTCAAGTCTTCGTTTAACTCATGGCATTGCTTAATTTCTTGCGTTTGTCAGAAACATGAAATTCCGTTAGTAACAACTGGATTGCTGTATCCAAGCCACAACCATGAACAGGCGTTGGTGTAAAAAAGGTACACCAAGAAGATTGGTCTTCCAGCAACAAACAGAGCAAAAAGCTAATTCATACATGTGGAAATAGGGACTCTCCAGTTTCAGTTCTATACAATTATCTAAAATGATTGAATTTCGATGTAAACTAGTACAATTTTAATATAAACGTGAATTATAACTGAATTGGTGCAAAACTCATGATTGCACTAAAAATATATTAATTTATACAAAAATTGTGCAAGTTTATATGATCGGATGGAACTGGACAGACTTAGGGAGGTCCCAAATCCCATACATGTAGATGTGCAGATGTGTGCATATATATATATATTGTTTTGTACGTATCCAATTTTCGTACATGGGCGCATATATATATATCCATTCTGACATTTAATAAAGTTGCTCAAAATTACCAATTCCTTGTACGCGGAGCACGTAAGAATTGGCACTGACTTATTTATTAATTTTTACTTGGTGAAAGTTGTTGAGTTTTGTTGTTAGGTTATTAATTTATAAATTATACATTTTTTAAAATTGACATCCTTAATTATTATTCGATAAGTTTACAAGTTAATTACAACACGGGAATTCAGTTGAATGTTACTATGTTATAAAAACTTTGAGCTTGCAGTAAGCCAATACTTCATATTCAATTTGTGTACTTTTGAGCACTTCTGTTATATTTGGGAATTACTTTAGACCAAATAATTTCTAAAGAACTCGAGTTTTGTTATCTTGTAATTTTGGAACACTACATTCTTAAAAATTTGAAAACCGTAATTATAATTGCTTTTTTTTTCTCCTGAATTAATTGCATCAATTTATTTTAATTTTGCTACAGATCTTCAAGTAAAATGCACATGAGGCAGTTGAACATCATTATGAGGACACTAACAAAAATGAAGATTATATTGCACTTTGGCCTAATTAGGTTAGATGCAGCAGTTGAGTATAAGATTAATAAATTTGCAATCAGCAGCTGTTTGAATATTTTTCTGAAATTTGTCCAATGTCATTAGTTCCAATTTCTTCTTCATACTTATTATTACTCCAAAATCGGAGAAAAAGTTAAAGCCTTTCTTGTTCCTTTCAAGCCAATATTAGGCAGCTAACTTGTAGATTTGATAATTGAAAAGATACATACATACATACATACATATATATATATGTCCATTGGATTATAGATGATTTTAATTTAAATTTGGAATATATTTTGGAGCTTACATGTACTAATGAATTATGAAGTTTATTTAGAAAAGTCTAATTAACTATTGAAGAGTCCTGTCAATCTTTTGGCTCAAAACTGAAAAACACCGCAAGTGCCCACCCTAGGCTTTGGCTCTTCCACATACTTGGAGGAAAACTCCTACGGTACTGGTTAGCTACGATGGGAGTTGCTTTTTGTCCTTCAATTTATCCATTAAAAGAATGAATGTTTAGGGGCGACTTATTCAGCCAATGAAACAAATTCAACAACCGGAGTATTCATGTATAGTCTATTATTTTTATGAATTAATCTTTCCTACACTGTCAATGTATATACTGACAGAGTTGGATGAATATCACATTATCTGAATCTGAATTTAAATATCAAATTTTATATATGTGGCACGCATCTAAATCCGTTAGTGTATACACTATCAGTGTATAAAAAATTTATCCTATTTTTATCCAACTCGACAATTTATACAGCTGTAAATAACAAATTTATGTACGTCATCTCAGCCAACGCCTCTCTTACTTAAAATAGCTACTCCTTCCGTCCCTATACAGCAGACTGGAGTCATTCTTCGTTGTTGTTTTTCCAACTGAATTGCTTGTGCATAATTGCATGCGTGGACGCGTTTGCCAACAAAGGTTTCGTAGCAAAAAAATTGTTGAAATTGAAATTGTCACGTTTTGCTCAAAAAGAAAAAACTCGGCAATTTGAGGGATTCAGAACTCCTACAAATACCACTAAAAAAATTGCAAAGGCGCTGAAATTGTTAGCTATAATTACACCATAAAATAGATATAATAATTGAACTCCTATAATGTTCAATATATTTTCTGTCATTAGTACATCTTTTGAGGACCGTTTTAACAAAAAAAAAATTTTATTGCTTTTCTTAATTGGACACGTTCGCAGTATGCTAAATGATTGTCCTAGTCCGAAAACTATCTTCTTAAGGAAATTGCTTCTAATTTCACTTGAATTTAGGGAATTCCCAATCTTCATGTGACGGCAAGAGAAAGAGAGAGTTATACTTTTCAGCATTTTGACCTATTCTCAGGATTCCTATTATTACCTTCGCTTATAAATTTTTGGTCAGAGCTGTTTTCAAGATTACGACATGTGAAATTGTGGGGTAAATGTGAGTCATGTGACTACATAATTTAGAGATATAATTAATAAAATGATTTTTTGTTTACTTGAGATTTCTTTTATGAATAATATGGAATGGCCACGGACGGCAGTTTTCTTCATGGTTTCTATCCTGTCTCATTAGATAACCTATTCTACCTCAAAAAATCAAATTCAACGTCAATTGGTAACACAATTAAAAGCGTCCAAGACGGAAATTGGCAATACAAGTTGCTTA